CCGTCCTTCAGCATCTGTATTGTCAACTTGTATTGTCGTACCATCTTTTGCCATTACCACGTCTCCCGGTTTATTTGCTTCTCCATTTACCATGTTTTCACAAAGAGGTACAAGCGCAATGACTTTTCCTGGGATATTCAATCTTGCCGCTGTTAAAATTGCCGAGCATACAGTGGCTGCACCCCCCATATCCGCTCTCATTTCTTCCATTCCTTGAGAAGGTTTGATTGAAACCCCACCACTATCAAACGTAACTCCTTTACCAACCAATACAAGTGGATTGGTGGATTCGTTTTGCTCCCCAGTGTAATGAATTTCTAAAAATTTTGGCGGTTGACTAGAACCTTTTGCCACACTCAGAAATGCACCCATTTTTTGTTCTACAATCCATGTTTTATCACGAATTATCACTTTAATCTCGCCTTTTGTACCACACGATTCAATTTTATTTTTGACCTCCTCACAAAATATAGTAGGGTCCATTAAATTCGCAGGGGAATCCATCAGATGTCGTGCAAAGTTTTGGCCTTCTGCTAAAATTACACCTTCCTCCCATTTTTTTACAATATCCTCCCCATTGAGGGGTGTTTCGTTATCAGGTACACTATTCAATGGTGAAATTGAAAGAGGAAATTTTTCTCGTTCTGACTTTTTGTAATTCCACGTCGACAAAAAAGCACCTTCAGCCGCAGATGTAGGATCATTAGTAACGTCAACTTCAACATTTTCAATTCCAAGACCCTTTAAACTTTTCATCCCAGCAGCTATTCCTTTTCTGATATTCTCTCTACTTACGTCCAAACTTTCATTATTGTTTTTTTGCGGATTTTTCTCTCCTAAAGACACTACAGAAACAATTGAACATTTTTCCGTAGTGCCAAAAAACAATCTCGAGCTACCGGATTCAATTGGTTTTGATAGCGATAGTAATTTTGTTAACTTTCCTTCGAGCCATTTGTCATAAGTTTCAGAAGTTTCTGTTTTATTTGTAACATTTTCTTGTTTTTTCTCTGTATAGATTCCCAGAACTATGGCTTTCTTTTGATGCAATAATGTAGTAGATGTAGAAAATACTCTGACAAATCCAGAATAATTTTGGCTTGTTAAATTTTCCAGTATTCTCAATGTTACTGACATTTTTTTAGTTTAGAAAGCAATCTGTATCGCAAATAATTTTCAAATTCATATTTCACCAATCATTACAGTATGACACATTTCGAGGCGCAGTTCTTACCACTTCATGGCAGCTCCTGCCACGAACGAACCGCGGCAGCTCTTGCCATGGTTTTATAGCGCTATTCTGTATTCAGTAATCAGTATTGACGGTATATTCACAAACTAATGTACCAAATTCTAATTGATCATGCGGAATTATATCTACTTAAACCCTAACCCTAACCCCAAATCCATCAAGACTGTATCCATAAGAAAAACGTTCCAACTTACCCAATATTTGTCACCCTAAGGGACAGCCCTGTCCTTACGGCCCACCTGCCGCGGTTACAGCAGCAAAATTCTACCTGCCATTGGTTTTCAATTTGCTGCCGCGGTAACGGCAGCTCGACATTGGTTTGTGGCAGCTAAAAAGTCAGTCGCCATAGGTTTGACCGTAGCGGCCATGTTATGGAAATACCGCCATGGTTTTGCGGCAGCTGCAGACGCCATAGAATACTTAAAACTGCACTTGCACATTTCTCTAATTTCAAAAATAACCTCTAAATTTGAAGACATCAATTTTAACGACGAATACAAACAGCTCCTTCGAGAGACAGTAAAGCACAATCAGTTTATATTGTTATGTCAAACATGGCCATGATGTTACCCTGCCATCGTGCCATTTGTCCTCGTTTCAGGGACAAATTAGGGGTTCGTTTTATTAATCTGAATCGCAGGATATTTCGGAATCAGAGAACTGTGAATTACTGGTCCCTAATAGTAGCCGTTGATATGTTTGTGATGAAATAGTGGGCGGAATAATTTTAAACCATTAAAAATGTTATTATTCTGTCAGTATATTCAAAGTAAGGTTAGTATAAAAAAATCAAAAACTCAACAAAGACTACTAAAAACTTATTTACTACATTAGGCATGATTAATTTTGAGGACACACACTTATAAACCTAAAAAATTCTAGAGAAAGAGTAAAAAAGCTTAAGCCTGTACAATGCGCATACTGACATAGGCTACCGTAATTATATAAGAGAATCGAGAACAATTTATTGTTAATAATAAATTCTCAGTACCGGTATAACTTTAGGCTAGGCCTGTTTATAAATAAACCAAGAATCAATAACAGAGTAAGCTAATACCGGTACCGCACACTAATATCAGGTTCAGTAGAGAGAGAGAAAATGATTTATTTTCCGAATATATCAAAAAATGTAAAATTACAATAAATGTAAAAGAACAATTATAGAATATATTCGGGAGGGCAAGACTGCAAGATCAACTATGTCGACCGACCCCTAAAAAAAGAAAAATTCTTATTATGACAAGACTTTCGGGAGTCATGAGAAAAAAAGGCTGTGTATAGATTTTTACCTCGATTAATTACAATAATTATTTGATGGGTTACACATGAGTCATGACAGTCCCAAAGATATAATAATATGAGGGGGATTATTCAACGAGTTAGTTAACACAATACAATCTTTGAATCAGGGCCTATTTGAATTAATAGGGAATGACAAGATAGATACATATTTCAAAAATATATTACAGTCAACTGAGACTTTTAAATAAATCTCAGATCAAAAATTCAATTTTATTTATAGTCTATACATTTTATAGTCATTTAAAATATTTCCTAATAGTTGCAAGCTCGATGATAACAGCAAGTTTCATAAGCAATAGTTTCACATTTCTCTGTGTACAACACGCAGTTTGGAGGCTTAGTACCGTATTGCCACTTAGTATCCATGCATCAGAAACTAACAAAAACTTATCGGCACACCTCTCACGGGGATTTAAAATAATAAATTTATTTTGACTCCATAATCAGCATATCAGACGATAAAATACATACCGTAGTTGATAAAAACTAATTATAGAATCAGGAAAGAAAACAATATCTTACGGAAACGTATCTTATTCTTCCATTAGACCATATATTATAAAGTTTTTAACACCATAAAATCCCAACTCTCCATATCACAGCGCTTTATTATTAAACAACAGTAGCAACGCCAGTACGGTAATAAACGCAACTGGGAAACAAATAACGAAACGCCCCGTCAGACAACGCTGATGACTAATTTGACATTTCACTTTGTTTACTTGCTCTTGAACTCGCCATGGATACGCGCAATCTCGCGAATTCTTAAAAAATGTCAACACCGTCAACGTAATCGCCCCAGGGGATAAAATTCCCCATGTTTTTAGGAATTTGTCAACAAAAGAGGAAAAATAACTCAGCTATGTCGAGTTTATTTGACATTTTGGTTTCGCAAATACCACATATGACGTCTTTGGTTGCGGTCTGGTGTTCCCATTTCTAAACGAAATAAAATCAGTAAGAGAGAAAGAGAGAGATTTATTGCCACAAAAACACTAGTTTATTTTCCACCATACTAAAATACGATTTATGAATAAACAATGCAAAAAGGGGAGGATTACTGGTTATCGAGCAGCGACACCCATGATTAAGAGTAACAGTGATATTTAATAGCACAAACTAAAGTTTACGCCAAAGTACGTCAAGTAAGTCAAAAGTGTCCATCTTGTTTTCGATCAGTCATGCATGTTAACTTAAATATCTATTTCCCCCCAAGAGTTGCCAGATTATTTGTGCTGTACGACGATGATCATTCTCTCACTATATATAGAAACGTGTCTTATGATTGCGCGTTGGATTTCAGAAATCTGGCAACGGTATTCAACACGAGATTTGTTGGATAATCAGAAAAATGTCATACCGGTATTTTTCAGCGCATTTTTGGAATTACTGCTGAAATTAAACTTGAATTCTGGAATAAATACGGTACCTAAAAGTTACAGGATTAAAAGGTTGCAAAATTTCGATGATCGGTAACTAAAGGGCGGCATATTTATTTTGGATGAGAATACTTTGGCAAGTTGAAGGGTAAGATTTTCACATTTATTTCGGGGAGGAGAAGGCCCGTTAGGACAGGTCAATCATACGTGGGCCATGACCCCTAACTCGATATCCAGTCTACACGTACGATATGGGTTGAGTTGGCAAAACAATCACTGGTCTTTTTCCATGATAAAAAAGAGAAGTTATTTGTTGCATCAGTGCATGGACTTACAGACTTAGGGATGTAGTTGATTGTTGTTTTTAACCTGAATTCTAAAATTACCTGTGTTTTCACATTGTGTCTAAAGTTTTTGTTTGTTTTAATTATTGGTACCATAGCAGTAGGGTGTTGTGTTCTGAAATGCAGCTTGAACGAGATGGTATTATTGATCAATAAATCAGTTTTATTTCAATCACTCTGACATAAAACAAAACAACAACAAACGGACGAACAATTATGAGAATAAATAAGAATAGCATAATCTCTTTCCACGAAATAGCAAGTATAAGCTTTTTTTAGATCATAGTTTAACAAGTTTCACCTGCAATTATGAAAGATCATAATAATTTAAATTATTATAATAAACTTCTAGAATGCTAAAGAACAATTTTTTAGGTATGAGTTTTCAACTGGGAATAGTTTATCAGAGGGAAATGGAATGAATTTTGAATGAGGTATTGTATACTTATATGCTTAATAATATCGCCTGAATTACCTGGAAAATTGGATTCATGCAACTAAATTAAAATGATATATTTGAACAAAACAAAATTATCATATTCATAAATTCGATTGAGCAATGGATTTAAATTTGACAAAATAAGAAAGAGAAATGGACTGAATTTAGATTCCGACCCTAAAGGCAATTTGTGAAATTTCAGATTTTAATAATATATATAAATAATAAAAAAAATAAATAAAAAAAATACTTGGCATTACGTTGCAAAAATTCTGTTCGATATAATGGCGAGCGAGGTACGCTCTGGAGTTCTACATGTTCAAAAAGTTAGTGGCCTCGTCAAAAAATTCCAAAAGCGATATGTTGCATTGTTTAAAAGATCCCCACACGGTGTCTCTAGACTAGAAGTATACGATTCAAAAGACCAGTATGAGAAACGGAACAAAGGCCCGAAGAAACATATTATTAGTCTCGAGTCCTGCGCTACGATCACACGTAAGCCAGTCTATGAAGGAAAAAAAGTTGATTTCTATATCACGCTGACATTTGATGACAGCAAAGAGCAACTTTTTCAAACCGATTCTGAAGATGATATGGAATTATGGTACGCTTCAATGAGTAGCGTTATCTTCGGGGGAGCCGGTCTCACAGATAACGTTATTTACCAACAGTATGAAGAGGACGGATATGATGTTGTCATCAAACAAAACGATGTTGTCAACAAATTAAAACTAAGTGGGATGTATTCTCTTGTCGTCTCAGCGGAAGATGTTGAATTACGTGATAAAGGAACGAAGCAAGTCATTACCAGGTGGCCGCTACAATTATTACGAAAATATGGGCGCGACAAGCAAGAATTTTCTCTCGAAGCAGGCCGGCGTTGTCCTACAGGACCGGGAATGTTTTACTTCATTACTGATCATTACAACGCGATTTTTCAAGATGTTGATAATAAAGTTCGTAATCTTGCAGAAAGAGGCCGTGCTCACAGCACATCAAGCACGAAAGCAGGTGTTTCCCCAACTTTTAAACCTCCTGATAGCCCATTGATTCAAACCTCTGTTCCGCCATCTCCGTTTAGAGACGGCGAAAGCGAATACGATAACCCACTAGACATGAGAAAAAGCGCAGCAAGTATTGAAGAGTCTATCTACAACGAACCAGTAAACTCAAAACCCTCAAAGAAGGGACAGAAAGGCAAACCAGAAAATCCTACTGCAAAAGGCAAAGGGGGGAAACTTGGACCTCAAAAACCAGACCGATCGAATCCCAAAAAGAAAGACAAAAAAGGTATGAAAGGTCAAAGTTTACCGGCCCCACCCCCACCGCCCCAAGTAGAAGAAGCAATGTATGCAGAGGCTACAAATCTTTCCGGTGACTCAGATGCGCAAGCTTATGGCCGTCTCGATTTCGAAGGAACGGGAATTGCGAAGCGTTTTTCAAACACAAGTAGCGACAACCAATACGATTCTCTCGATTCAAAGTGGAATGAAGAAGATACTACTTATGCTACAGCTGGATCGATTAATCAACGGTTGTCAGGTCTTTCAACTGAGGAGGAAGGCCTCTATGATAAAGTACAAAGGAAATGATATACTTCACTAATCTTTTTGGAGAAGTTTCTTACTGTATACTAGAGACTGGGAGATAATTAAGAAAAATTTAAAGTACTTTTAGAATATTTCTTTTTTTCAAAATGGATTCTGCTGCTGTCTTAAGCATTTTATATGCTTGCTTCAAAAATCAAATCTGCTGTCCAAAACAGAAACCAATAGTTCCTACAGAGGAAGCCATTCAAATAGCAGCAATTGGGGCCATCTTTCCATCCCTATACTGTCTATATGGCTGCCCAATAGCCCTCTATGGGAGAGGCCATTTAAATGGCGATTGGTACCGTACTTCCATCCATCCTTATTTCTAACCTTCTGCCTATATGGCAACCCAATGGCCCTCAAGGCAAGTTATTCATCAAATGGCAAATAGGACCGTGTATGTAGACCCAATTTATTTCTAAATTACATGATTTGACTGAATCCTAGCAGCATTGAAGCATGACTCGACAGCACAAGGCATATTCTGTTGGGATGAAATTATGCTGCCAAGAGGAATACTTTTAGACAGTTTATTCCCATTTTTGGCCAACACCAAGCCAGTCCCTTTTATCTGTAAAAATTTTTTTTTTTCTTTTACTTATTTTCAAACATATATATCCAAGAAAATATGCATTTTTATTGCAAATATTGTCATTGTTTTATTAATAGATTGTTGTGATCTTTGCTTATATGTTTTACTTAATAATCCATAACACTCTTTGATAGAAGTTAATATTTTATTGTTTCATTTTCCAATACTGAGCTACCGCAGACATAGAGAGATATGGATGGGTAAAACAGACTTATTTTCTATTTTCTACCAAGACTCAGAAATGACCATAAGTGAATAATATACTATTGCAATTTTGATCAGAGCAATGTCTTGAGCCCTCAACTAAAATTGAAAGAGTACTGATAGCAGAGTTATAAGTTTGCTCAGAGCAAGGTGTCGTGCCCTCAATTGCCTAAAACAAGGTCCCAAGCCCTCAACTAAAATTGAAAGAGTACTGATAGCAGAGTTATAAGTTTGCTCAAAGCAAGGTCTCGGGCCCTCAACTAAAAGTGTGAAGAGTACTGATAGAAGTGATGGTCCCAAGCTCTTGACTAAAATTGAAAAAAATATTGATTGAGAGGTTGCAAGTTTGATCAAGGCAATGTCTCGAGCCCTCAATTAAAATTGAAAGAGTACTGATAGAAGATTTCCAAGTTTGCTCAAAGCAGGGTTTGGAGCCCTCAACTGAAAGTGGAAAGAGTACTGATAGAAGAGTTGGGTCCCAAGCCTTACATTCAAAGTGGGAATAGTACTGTTAAAGTTTCAAGTTTTTTTTGCTGTAAACGGCTTTGAACATATGAAGTTAGGCTCCTTTCTTTCGTATTTTTGACTATTAGATCTAATCGAAGGTGTCACTGCGTGTTAAACAGTTTTGACTTATTGCGTCTCCCTCCATCCTGAAATGCAATATTTATGTTTCTTCAATATATTGTTCCTTGTTCGTATAAAGTGTATTTTTGGTATGATGAAAAATCTAATGGTTATTCTTGTTGGCATATGGAGGTGTATTAAAGGAAGTAAATATTCTAAACAATTACTGATTAAAAAACAAAAAAACCTGGTTAAGATTTCTTGAGAACTGACTTCATAACAAAATTGAAATTCTAAAGGACTTTATCCTGTATATCCTGCTGACTTTATAGCAAAATTTTTGTAACAGGACATTATGAACAATATGTATATTCCTTTGAGCGTTTAAAATCCAAATTATTGACAAGACAGGATTCTAGATATGCACTATAATGTCTGTCAAAATTTTTTTAACCAAAATTAAAAAGCATCTACATAACAAGCCTAATCAGTGTTAGAAATTCGATAATCAAATTCACGCCATATATGATTTGATATAAATACTTCAAAAAAATTTCCATGCAACAGCCATGCTAAGGTAATGACTCATGGTCCGTTACATACATGTAATGTGCATTACTCATATATGCTGAATCGTCACAGATTCCTATTTTTAACGTTCTTTAATCGCTGGAATGTATATTGATAATGACATGTATAGGTATGCTTTTTCCTGGAACAAAAAGCCGCACAGTTTATACAAACATAATATAGGGCCAAATCTTACTAGAGGTGGCAAAAAAACGAATAATTATCTACATTTCTGAGTATGATATAATGATGTAAGGATATTTTTGAACATGAAATAATAGATATACAGGGTATTCATAATCTTACCAGGGTAATATATCTTAACCAGGTTTTTTCTTTTATTTTGATCACCTTTTTTTACTTTATTCAATACACGTTTAAGTGACAAAAAACTATCTATGGTAACCAGGGGCGTAGCGAGTCTTTTTAAAGGGTGGGGTTTGGAAAATCAGAATCAAAATTTTCATGCAGCGGCTTGTAAAACAGGGGCCGCGATCATGCAACTCATTAAAATAGCTGACTTTGTCAACGATAACGACTTCTTGTTGCCTAAATTATTCAAGTCATGACCAATGTGAACATTTAAAATGTCTTGCTATATTAATTTGTGTTTATTGGAAATTTTGTCCAGAACCCCAACTTATCTGTTCTTGGCTTTTCTTGCTAGGATTCTTTATTTGCTGTTGCCAACGGAAACAATACCAATGTCAAATTTTGATTGTTATAAAAATGAAAGTGGTTTTCGATTTATTTCGATTTCACTATCGCTGAGTTAATGTTTAATAAATTACATTATAATTTTGTTATAGTTTGGTTTAAAAACGGCCAAATCAAAAATGGACACAAGGCACTACCTAAAATCAGAACTAAGACAGTTACAACCTTGAACGTGACCAAAAGGTTCATAATGACAAGATTAAAAATATAATGTAATTCATTGTACCTAATGTCTATGTCTGAAGAAATTACGGTCAGAATTTTCAGGGTGGTATACTGGTATTGATGCATTATAGAAAAAAGAATTGAATAATAATGCATGGCTAGCCTATGCTATCAAAACTTAGCCAACACCGATTTTAAAAGCGTTCAAGTGCGACCTGGCGACATAGAATAATAATATTCTGACCAGTTAGGGTCCATTGGTCATTCTTAACAGGGTATAGAAGTCTGAATAGTGCCAAAGTAGACAAAAAATAAATTTTTAAAAACCTTGTACTAAACAATTTTTTGGGAGATATTTTTGTCATGCTTTTACCAAAAACAATCAGGTTGTAAACTTTTGATTATTTTTTTTGTGGATATATTGTTATGTATTTATTGTTATAAATTTGATTTCATTTTTGCAATTTTAATATTGAAGATCATTTATGCCCGATTATTTAAAGGGAGCCGTGGTAAAGTTTCATTAGAATCTGAGACTTTTGAATAATTAAAATTTTCACTACCCCACCAATGCCCGAGAGAAAATTTTGATTCTCTCCAATTCAAGACTATGATGAGTTGTCACAGCTCTGGGCAATTGGGGCCAGGTTCACAACCTCTGCCTGCCTTGCCTCTGCATTCTGTGTCAATTCGTTCATTAATTATTAACAGGGAATACAAATTGTGGTGTGTTTCAGTGTTCACCGAATTTAATTAGCTTCCTTGGAACATGTCCTTCTTATAATGGCATGTTCACTGCCTGTTACCCGTCATTTTATTTTGAAAGGGAACTGTGTTTAGTGAACTTGCGCTGGGAATTGTACCTAGCACTGTCTGCCATTGATTTTTTGTCGCATGAAGACTGATTTTGGTTAGACAAAATGTTATGAATTTGTTGAAACGTGAAGCAATACTTATTATACATGACAATATTTCAAGTGTTTCTTTTTTTGTAGAAAATAATGATAAATTGTTTTTTTTTGTGTGTTTCTATAATTATGCTGCAATTTTTATGTTCCTATTTATCTAGAATATAATAATGTACGTGAAAAAATAATTTTTAGCATGGCTGAGATGTCTGAGAAAATTTACATTTTATTCCCAAACTCTGAACTCTTTCAAAAAATGTCTTCTAACTCTCAGTTAAATGATATTTTTTTGAGTTCAGCTTAGACCTCTTAAAAGACCAAATTTTGATAAAAAAAACTTTTGTATATGCAAGCCTTTATTTGCTTGTCTGTTTAGAATACTCGGTCAGCTTTTTTCAAAAATTTCAAATTCAACTCTGACTTTAAAGAATTCAGTTTTTTTTTTTTTTTTTGTCAGAAATTTAGCCGCAATTACCAATATTAAAATTTAAAATTTTCAACTCCAGAGAATTCAAAATTTTGACACCTCAGGGAGTTTAAACATACAACTCCAACTCATATCAATAAAACATGCGGTATTCTAAACAAAAAACAAATTGACAGCAATTTTCTGTAATAATTGCCTGTTGAAGAAAACGCTTTTTGTCTCAGATTATGATTTGCTTGTTCGGATTCAGTATTTGCTGTTGTCAATGGAAACAATAACAATGTCGTACCTTGATCGTTTTAAAAATGAAAGTGTGCACGATTTTTATTTCAATTTCAACATCTCTGAGTTAATGTTTGAAAGAATTGAATGGCACTTCATACGACAGTATTGAAAATCTGAAATTTTTTTGAATTTGGTGAAATCATGGATTTTTAAGTTTCTGTTAAATATTTTGACCCCGATGACCTACATCAAAAATCTAAAATTTTAATTCCAGAGAATTTGAAAATTTGACTTTGACTTCAGAAAGTTGTTTTTAAACCCAACCTCAAAATAAATTAATTCCTTCTTATAACCCTAAGGACCCAAATTTTGAAATCAAATTTCTAATTGCCAAGTCAGACCGTGTGAGCTAGCGGTTCTGGCTGGAAAGTGTTATCAAGATTCTTGGGGTCTAAAAAGCGTTACATTTTAAAAGGGGGTGTTCAGACCCATAAACCCTGCCCCTCCCCCTCATGGCTACGCCCCTAAACTCCAGTATCAATGAGAGCATATCAAACTCTTGACTCCACACCTTACTATTCATGACAATTTTCACTTCATTAAATATCAATGTGCATTTAACCTTGCAATATTAACCCTATAATAATAGCAGTTTGAAATTTTTTCGCCCGAATTGAATTTTTTTTAATATTATTGTACTTAAAAAGCTAACTTGAGATTATGCCGCTATGTAATTGTTTTATTTCAATCCTATACTTATATGCTGCCTTATACATTGTGCCTTATAGTTGATTACAGAACTCGAAATTGATTGAAAAATTGCTTTGGAAATAATAGGTTTTGAGTAAGCAAAGCTAAGTTTGACTATTGGCTCCGTCCTGATTGAAGTGCGCTAAGGGATTTTCTGCTGGTCATTTCTTCTAATTTCTTCCAAGCGCTTGCAATCCCGGAAATTTAACATGAAAATATGCTATGAGACTACTAGCATGCCAATGTATGATGTAGGTCTCCAATGTGCCCCTGTCGACAATTTCTGGTTAGTAATGTGTCAGGGGTTTGTTTGCATCGGCCTTTGGACTTAGACATCATATACAAGTGCACATATAAATCTTAGTCGAATGTGCCTGGATGTTTACCCTTTTTGTTAGTCAACCAGGAGTGATATGTGAATTGAATTTTTTGCATTATCTTCACCAATCACAGTTTTCAACAAATGAATTCGAACCCTTCATGTTTTTTTGTACTTTAAAAAATGTCAACAGTCATTCCATTTGTTTCGAGCTCTGCATTATAATTTTTCAATTTCCAACAATGTCAACAACCATTTCATTAATTTTGGGCTCTGTATAATTGTGCCTTAAAATTCTTCAAGCGTGTAATTTTATTATCATTATTATTATTGAAAAGATATCATGTATTGAATGTTTATTAATGTACTTTTTGTTTTATGCTATAGGTTACAGAAATAGATATACAATAGATTAAAACTTCGCTTTGAATTATCTGACGACAGACAGACAACACTGAGAGGTGTACAGGTTTTGCGACCCAAGCAGACCACCCAGTGTGGAGATATGTTTATCAACGATGCATGATGCGATAGAGGCTTGTTTATGAAGTAGGCCTATACCATTTTATATCATACATTTACGGGTACTCCCGTAGTATGTGAACCAAGATGGCGGACACCGGAACGTAGTATATGTGTATATACTACGGAGTCACTTGGCTAGTCCCTAAACTCGTAATAGAATTAAAATAAGGAAAATTGGAATAAAATTATGGCCTAACCCTAACCTGGTACACATACTACGTTCCGGTGTCCGATATGTTGGTGCACATACTACGGGAGTGCCCATTTACTGCTGTGAAAAGTGAGATGTTTTTAGGGGAGTTATTCAGCTTACAGCGTGTATGGGTTTTATACAGACTTCACTGTATGTACATATTAAAACTCAAGGATCCTGTTTTTAAGTTCACCTTCATTTCTGTTAACTTAATTCAAGTTTAATTTTACTCAAAAAATCAAACTCATGCATTTCTGCCTATAACTCAATTCAGAAATGCGTCTCTTTCTATGTGACTGTACATGAACTCCGCCCACCCCCCCGCCCCAAGCACATTTTCTCATGAAATATAATTATTTTGATTAGTATTACTATAAAACTCTTTTCTCTAAAATAATATGGACACAATGTTTTTGGCACAGTGAGTTGTTTTCAGTTTTACTATCACATAATTTATCACTATATTTCTTTATAGTCCCATTAGCTCTGCCACTTCCGTGGCTGCACATATAACTTTGCTCAGAGACATAGATTGGCCTTTACTTCCGAGTTATTTCAGTTGGGCTTCCATCTTTGCTCAGAGATGAATCTCCTTTATTTCTGAGTTAGTGCACGTAGCATTTGGCGCGTCTGTAAACTCACACAACATTGCTCATACATGGGTCTCTGACTGAATTCCTGTGAAAAATTTTCTTATGAAAATTTATTTTAACCAGCAGTAATATAAAACCCTTCTCTAAACAAGATGGATCCAATGTTCATGGCATTGAGTTATTTTCGTCGTCGAAAATACGACGAATGCGCAAATCTTTGCACTAAAATGCTGGAAAAGAATCCGTACGACCAGGCCGTTTGGTCGCTCAAAACACGAGCCCTTACAGAACAAGTTTACATTGATGAAGTGGAGGCAGAAGAGGTTGGAATAGCTGAAGTTATCATGGATGATAATGCCGTAGCACAGGTTGCAAGACCAGGTATGCTAGTCATTTTTTCTTCAAAATCGTCACATTAATGAGACAGAACAATTCTGCTGTGTCACACTTCATTGGTACTTTTTCAGGTCGCCATTTCTTCATACTTTTCAAGTTTTTGTCTTGTAGAGCGCAATACTTTATACCAAATTTTGTAGTTCTTTATTATTCATGTGCGCACTTTCATACAATGTTTGGTTCAGTTCGGCTAGAGCCGTGACCCCCTTCCATACTGGCAATTCTTGTGGACCCTTCATACTATGTGCCAAAACTTTTACCCAGCTAGACTGGCGGCCATGTAAGTGTGATGTAAAAAGTTACATTTTATGAACAGAATGTTATTTGCATTGTTACAAAAGCAAAAATGGAAAACCGTGTCAAAACTAAATTTACTGTATTTATTGTAGTGCATGCATAATTGGTTAAAAGCAGAAATGTATGGCAGCATCGTATTGTCATTGTCACGAGTCGGAAAAATAACTCATACTTTATCCCGCTTTTTGGCAAATTATTTGGATAATGGTTGGTATTTAAAAGTATGGGCGTTTTACTAGGATGATGTTGTGTTGCGCAAATATTAAAATCCATCATCGATACCACTATTGCTGTATTAATTTAATTCTGTTAACATGACTCATAGTATATAAAATATATACTGCAATAATCTGCAAATACAAAATGCCTGGTAATATAGCTAGGTTGTAACTTGTAGATAGCAGTTATTCCATTGCTTATTGTATGGAAATTCCTACATACATTTAGATAAGCTTCAATTAGTGGATTTTATTTTCGAAGTATTCAAAATTTCATATTCGAAAAAAATAATTTCGAATGTATTCGAAATAGTGAACTATTCGGTATTGGCCATCCCTGAATTATTTATGCTCAACAAAGTAAAATACCTTGTGAAATAACCTTAAGCATCGGATTAAATCACCCAACGGGCCAGATTTGGCCCATGGGCCGTAGTTTAACCATGCTTCTCTAATTACTAACTTTTTATTGTCACAGGGACCAGCATGAAACCCAGCAGTTCTGGTCGATCTACCGGGACAAGCCCAGCAGTGAGACCAACCAGTCAGTCAGGAAGGCCTGTTAGTGGTTTTGTGAGACCAGGTGAGTGAGTAGAATGTGTATGGAGTTGTGAAAAATTTACACCAGACTTCCATTCTAGACTTTTACATGTTTAAAAAATGACTTGATCTCCAGCGTGACAAAAAAAAATTTATTTTGCTTTGCGCTAAAAATATGACATCATAGTGACCACAGGCCAGCTTTCATTTGCCCACTCTTGCTGAAACATGTAAGGGCAAAAGGTCAACTCTTTATCCGCATTCCTGCCTCATTTTTTTCTCAAAAATACTAAAAAAATCACTGTATTTGCTCGTTTTGTAGCCCGGGCCCATATTTTTTTTAACCACATTTACTAACCGGGCCCTTATTCGAGCACGGGCGCTTGTTATTTTTAAAGTACATTTATACACAGAAATTACGGTATCTTTGAAGACAAATATTTGACGACATTAATCCTTTTTCCATGTCAAACACAAATTATCCACGTCTTAAGAGTAATTTTCAAAATTTTTCTACGCACCGCAGGTACAAATCCGCAAAAGAAGAAAAGTTTTGCGACGCCCTATCAATATTGAAACGACGCACTTGGGCGTTGTGACGCCCAGTTTGAGAACCACGGTGTTACGTAATCAACGCTATCTGTTATGTATGATGTGAGTGTTATCTACCAGCGCTTGAAATTCAACAGCGTTGTGACTAAAGCGCTTCTTATTTCCTATTGTTCTCTACCACTGGAAAATCAGCTTTTACATCGGGCGGGTATTCAAGCACCGGCTCTTATTTATTTTTATGTTCTGTTCATACAGGCGGCTATTCAAACGGGCCCTTAATCAAAATCGGGCGGTAAAACGAGCATATACGATATGTCTGTTAAACTTGGTTCAGCATATAAATAAACTGCAGCACGCATAAGCATAGTAAGTACAGGAAGTAGAGACATGGAAAGACAAAATGAATATATTGATTCATGTACACATTCTAATTCTATCAAAATCAAACAATTTTATTTGTGTTATTTTAATCACAGCAGTGGCTCGCTCCACCATTTCAACTTTTTTTTCATTGAATTCGTTTTTTTGAATTCGACAAATGCAGGACTAATTTAATTTTTCTCTTAATTAAATGTTCTTGTTCACTCTATATTTTTTTAAATTTCTGTTAAAAATTTGGACTTTAATTACCGCCATTAATGGTTGCTGACTCTAAACAACTAAAAATTCTGTGGACCTGATATATCTACAAAAATCTTCCATATTAAGATTGAAATTGTGATGTGTATTAAATTTTATGGAGTATTGTTTAATTGGCAAAATCTATATGTTCAAATATTCAAAAATAATTTAAATTGTTGAGTGCAAGCGTTGAATACAGTGTTCACTTCTGACTTTACTCACAGATGATTAGCCTTAGCATCTAATTATTAACTTTCATGGTTATTCTCACAGCAAATTTTTCAAAATAACATATACTGTATATAAAAATGTATAAACTCTGATACATCATGCAATCGAAATGTTAGAAAGCCAGGCATTTGAAACAATATATTATTCAAAATGTCAGTTGCGTTATCATTTGTAACTTTGTGAACAATTTCCTTTTTCCTTGATGTGTGTTTTGCCTACGTATAGTTGAGTAACTAAAGTTCTGTAGATATTGTTGCACTATTACTTTAATCTTTAAACTACAGCAATGGAAGCTCAAACATAAGTTAAGTGTTCGATGGATATAATATGCGATGTTACGATCACAAAATTGATTTTTATTTGAAGGCAGCAATTTTTTTTCTGATAATTTGGCACCGCACGAACAAAATGTTCTGGAACCGCTGAGCTAAATGAAAAATGAAGATGAATGTGCCACATGCCATTAAAGATATGGAGGGTGTCCATAAAGTCCTGAAATATTCTAAAATTGCGAAGGGATTTTATCGATACCATATATTGTTTTGGCCCTCACAGATGTATTATTTAATGAAGTAAAAATATTCAAACAGTTACAGATTAAAAAGCAACAAATCTGGTTAAGAAATATTAGGAACCAACTTCAACAAAATTGAAATTGTATTGTAAAATGGACACCCTGTATATCTTATAAATTTATTAAATTATTCAATTAAGCTTTATTTGTTTTCTGAAAGAATTTGCTCAAAGCTAGACTCACGAGTGAGTTAACTCGTCAAGAAATAACATAATCTCTTTCACCATTCGTTCAACCAATTACGGAAACTCTAAATCAAAAGTTTCATGGAAAGAGATTATGTTACTCATACTTATCTTTATGATACTATCTCGTTCAAGCGTCTTGTGGCAACTGACACATCCGCAATAGAAAGTAGACAAGAAGAAAGGCAGTTCAATACACAATACCCTAATAAAACTCATCTCTTGGTAAATTAGGGGAAAACCCCCAGATTTTGTTTGTGCTTTATTTGTTATTCAAGAAATTTTCTTTTTAAAGGTACCCAATCTGGAAGGCCAGGGACTATGGAACAAGCACTCAGGACCCCTCGTTCAGCACAGACAGCTCGACCAGTGACAAGTGCCAGTGGAAGATTCGTGCGACTTGGGACTGCTTCGATGCTTTCTAATAAGGATGGACCTTTTATCAACATGTCCCGACTGAATTTGAATAAATATGCGGGCAGGGATAATCTGTCAAAGGTGAGTTTATTTCTTCAATATTTTATATGCTCCAATAATTAATACAATAAGCTGAGATAATTAAAACTAGAGTCATAAGAGCACAATTACAATATTTTCCCAGCTTTTCATTTCAGAGGGATGTTCCCAAATTTTTAGAGGAGAGATATTTTGTTATTAATGATAAAACTATTTGTAACTTCTAGAACTGTATTGTGTTAGACTGATCATCTGCACTGGGAAATAAGCCACTTATCAAATACAATTTTATTTACATTTAGGATAAAGTGTGGTGACACTCCTCAAAATTAGCGGGGTGGGAGTGTTTGAAATTTGTTCATCCCTTTGAGGCGTGTAGGGAAATCACTGGGTTGGAAGATTCTTTCGATTGGCGGAATGCCTACCTAACTCAAATTATGATTTGACGATTGTATCTGAAATAGTCATTTTTTCAATAACCTAAATTAATATTACCATGTCTAATTTATATTGGATAATGAGCAATAATTTTTGTTACAAGAAAAGTACTTAAGTCTTTTTTTTTCAGGCTTTATTTGAATACATTTTTCACCATGAAAATGATGTCAGAAATGCGTTAGAACTTGCTGCTCTTGCAACAGAGAAATCTCAATATAAAGACTGGTGGTGGAAGGTTGGTTAGAATGTATAAATATATTTCAATTTGGCAAATGTGCTTGACAAAAGTCTTTTTTAATTCTCTGATGAGAATGCCTAGTAAACTTAATGCTTTTAAGCTACAGTTATAAATTGTGACTTCAATTATATCTATGGAAATTCTAAAATTATTATTCCTGGCCACATCATTACAGTCATCTGAAATTGAATGAAGGCATTTTCAGATTAACTTTTTTCCTGTAATTGCTATAAATGATAGTTTTTCATGTGGAACAGGGCTCAGGGCTTTGCTTTGAGGAAACCTGGGCAAAAAACATATACCTCTTAGTGTGTAATGGTCGCTCGCACTCTCTCTTCTTCCACTCTCAAGTTAAGGACATTTCTTTTTATAGTGCAGTTTGTGGCCCGCGGGCCTTCTGTTGTACATCCCTGTTATAGTGTCAGCAGTCGCTTGCAATTTTCTTTCAGCACTATTTCCACGTTAACAGGTTTAATTGAAAGCTTGGGACACAGAGCACACTTGTATTGCACACATCTTTTCTTATTCCAGGTCCAACTTGGCAAATGTTATTATCGTCTTGGTATGTACCGGGACGCTGAGCGCCAGTTCAAATCTGCGCTAAAACAAGAATCTATCGTAGATACAATGTTATATCTCGGAAAAGTTTATCAGAGATTAGATCAGCCGTTATCAGCTATTGATATCTATAATCAAGGTCTGGAGAAATATCCTGGCGAGGCTAGTTTGCTAACAGGTGAGACCTTGGTTGTAAACCTTTGTGTTGAAGCATTCCTCCCTTTGCCTCTTTTGGAACACTCGTTCCACCTCATTCTGCGTATACAAGTGGTTTCTCTTTATTGTTCAAGACACTGATATTCAATTCAACCTATCGACGCATGAAATCCAAACTGGGCTAAGTCCATTTTTCTAGTTTTGAGAAAAACGCAAAAAACGTTTTTTTTTTGTTTCTTTTTTTTATTTCTCTAATACCTTACATCAAGGATGTCTAGTTTTTATGGTCCACCAAAGTTACAATGAAGGCCATATTTAAGTGGAATAAAAAAATTTGTGTTGCCCCCCAAATTTTTTTTTGGGAGGAGTTTTTTGGACTTGGGCCATTTTTTGCTCTCAATTTTCTGAACCAGAATTTTTTTATTGAACTTAGGGCCCCTTTATTGTGCTATTATAAAGGCAACTTATTATTGATAAACGTCAATAATTCCCTTTTACAATGTTTTTGACACTTTTTGTGAGCTTATCTCCACGTTAGAAAATATTTCTGGTTCTGAATCTTGCTGACAATAGTTATCTAGCATCCAATTTTGATCAGACTGCTATTGCTACTGATTACTGCATTTTTTAGATTATCTTCCTCCTCAGAACCATTGCCAACTAAATTACTAAACAAAGTTAAGAAAGAAACTGTTGTAAATTCTCAATCAGGAATGGTCAAAGAAAACAAAAAAATAATTTAAATCAAGCCCAATATGTAAAACAGTTTTAAATGATTTTAATTTTACAAAAGTTACAATGAATGTTTTTTTGAGCTAGTGTTTCTGCTCATGAAATCTAACTTTCATCAATTACTGGAAGCAATTCGTAGAATGCCTTGTGGTTTGTAGGGATTAAATTCTTATTACATAATGTTGTCAAACTCTTGTATTTCTCCCTGCTGACTCTTTTATATTCTGTCTTTTTTGTGTTGCTGGTCTTGCTGACTTTAGAACCAAAGAGTTAAGGTCAACTTTCTGGAGCTCCTCACCGAATGGGCTGTGTCATTCTCATTTTGAGAATGACCTGTAATTAGAAAATTGAGTGTTATTTCATCAGAATGCAGCTCCTCTATAGCATAGAGTAACATCACAATCATAGCTCTGTTATTATTTTGCCCACTGCAACGGTCACAGAAAAGTTGCATAGTCTTCACTGCTGTGGTGAGAGAGGACAGGTATCAAAACACTGCAGTCGCTATTTTACAAGAGCTTTTTCACCCTTATACTTCATTCCAAAGATAGCAACTCTTGTGCATGGACTGAATGTCAGTTACTGTAAAGTTGAAATTTTTCAGCATTTGTGTGTAGTAAAAGGAGGACACTTGTCCACAAAGACAAAGAAGAGTTTTCTGAAGGTCAAAAGCTGCCACATGAAGTGGAGAATCTGTTGTGGATTTTCTTTCATTTCCCTCTTCATTGAACGCACCATGTCCTTTTCTTGGATATGCTTAGTTTGATTTTCGAAATCTTTGTCAGTCAATAGAGATTTTTGCATTTTTTGAAAGCTGAAAGCATTGATCACACACATCTATTTTAGGTTGGTGAAATTTAAGATTGAATTTTCCATTGGATATGCGTAAATAAAAATCATATGATTCAACTGCAGAGCTATTTTCTTCGCACCAAATCTCATATTATATTTTATACATTTGTCGTACAGTCAGATACTCATGAAGATATTCCCACTGACTGTCTTTTCTCAAATAATGTGATTCAACAACTGGAAACAATTTTATATGGGTTATAAATGGCTCCTGCCTTTCCCTGGTGACCTTGTTGTGGTCACCATCTCTTCCTCTCATATCTCTCTCCAGTGAACCAGTGATGTTTCCACCTTTTTCTTGCTTATATTGGGGGGAATCTAAAAAAAGTTCTTACACGCTTGTACCAACTCGTTGCTTTCTGGATTTAAAAAAGTGTAGACTCTGTTGACTTCTTGATTACGTTTTTGATCAGTCTTAGTATCTTTTCTCGGACTGCATCTCATTTTTTGTATGTACTGAGACAATCATATTCTGGTTAGATTTCTTATCAGATGCGATATCGTAACTGAGTAAAGTCCTCTGGCTGGTTCACACTTTGCTTGGCTTTGCTTGAAAGGTATATTTCCGACTTGAAAATTCCATAATTATGTAAATTTTAATAATTTAAAAACAGCAGTTGGAAAGTGGTTATGGCGATGAATTATAACTTTCTCATTCCCTCTACTGTAAACATAAAAAACAGCTAACACTGAGCTATGACTGAGAGCTGGTATGGACTTAGCGCTTTGTATTATATTTAACTCAAATTTTTGGGAGGAGCTATGTCCAAAAAACGGACTTAGCACCGACTTACAATGCAGTTATCCAGAGCTAAGTCCACTATAGTAGACACAGCTCTGTTTAGTTCTCAAATGCCCTAAAAAAAGCAGGGTTATGTCCATAGCTATCTTGAGATCTGGAGCACCTAGAGATAAGGCAAATAGACCAAAATGTAGAGCTAAGTCCAGGAAAATCAGCAGTTGAAAAATGTCGTTTTTGGGAAAAGTGGACTTAGCACTGTTTGGTTTTGATGCGTCGCTATGGGTTGCAACCCACAATTTTCTTCAGTTGCGTGTTTTTTTAACAAAAACCTACAAGTTACTAATTTTTTCCTTGTAAATTTTATCGTTTATTATATATTTGTGTTGCTCAATAGTACTGTAATTGTATATGGCGGAAGCACCACAATGTAAAAACACGACAGCTGATGTTTTCCTCAAGTAAAGTCACACTATAATTTTAAAAATTTGTTTTTGTCAAATAAGTGCAGTTTTCTCACTTTGAGTTAATTCCATTTTGATTTACTCAATGCTTACATATATATATGAAACATTTGAATTCCAGGTGTCGCCCGTGTTTATGATGCTATGGACAACCAAGAAGAGATGGCGAAATGGTACCGTCACGTTTTGGATCACGATCGCACGAACGTCGAAGCCCTTGCTTCGATCGCAGCGGACTATTTCTACAACGATCACCCGGAGGTCGCTCTCAGTTTATACCGAAGGCTTTTACAAATGGGTGTCTACAACGTTCAAATTTTCAATAATCTTGGTTTATGCTGCTACTACGCACAGCAGTACGACATGACTTTTAAATGTTTCGAGCGCGCTCTATTGGTCGCAGAAGATTTAGAAGCGGCAGACGTATGGTACAATGTCAGTCACGTTGCGATTGGAATCGGTGAATTAAATATGGCGTACCAATGTTTACGCCTCGCTGTTTCCATAGATAACAGCCACGCTGAAGCTTACAATAATCTCGGCGTTTTGGAATTACGTCAAGGTGACATTGACAAAGCTAAAGTTTTTTTTACATCGTCCCAAGAACTGGCTCCAGGGTCGTACGAAGCGCATTATAATCAGGCGACTCTTTCGCAATCCCTCGGCGACCTTCAAACGACCTACATCTCAACTATGAGAGCCACTGAAGCGTTTCCTGAGCATGTCGACTCAAAGGATTTGCTCAAAGTGTTGAAAGATCATTTCACAAGTTTGTGAATTGCATTTAGCGGTATTAGTCACAATTTCTAGTGACCTAGAAGTTAAGTTTTGTGTCATATAATTTGCTGTACTTATTCATCTGTTATCTCTGTATGGATTCATCTGTTATCTCTGTATGGATTACAAGCTTCCTCTTGTCTAAAGCCTTTATTAGTGAAGAACTCTATAAAAGTTTTGTTTTGGGTAACTTGGGTTTAACCAGTTTATTTATTTTATCACATTTGTTGTACAGTGTCTGTAGAGAACGAAAGGATAAAATCCTTCATAGCTGTCCTCCAAAGACACCTCCCCCTTCTGTAGGGGGTGAACACTCCCTGCCCCCTAATTCTGAGACATCACTTTTAATTCCTAACTATAATTGAATCGGAATATGCGAAAAGTGGCTTATAAGTCAAATACATAAATAACACATTTCTATAAAATATCTGCCACCCTCTAGATTCCAAAACACCTTCCTTGTCCCTAATCAAAGCTCTATAAAAGTTTAATGTAGTGATTGTCATATCTGTACAAACACCATGCCAGTTACTTGATTGGGGCCTTGTTCAAAGGAGCATGTTTGATGTTATAAATGGCAGTATCTTTCACAACCTTAATTTATTATATTTGTATAAATTAGTTTGTTAAATAATATTTCTTTGATTCACTGTTCTTTAGTACAATTTGTAACAAAAAATATCGTTCTGTAAACAAATATTTTTGTAGAAAAATAAAGCACCGTTGGTATTTAATGAAATATTTGAAGTTTGTCGTAGTTTTTTTGAGGGGCATAGTATCTGTCAAGTGTGCCAGTTGTCTTGTAGGGAAGCGCTTATCACGTAAAATGCATCCAGTTTCCTCCGAAAACCACCAGGGGGAGCAAAGCAAGTACGGAAAACTGCGGTCAGAAAACGCTACTAGAGCGTTCGCAAAGCAGACAACTGCAGCGCAAGGAGATGCAGGCCACCACAGACTAATGAAATAAACCAAAAAATATACTGCGGTGAGGCAGAGTTATAGCGCCAATCATGCCTTAATATTTTGTGGGGTCCCATTTATAAATAATAAAAATAGTGAAACTGATGTTACCTGTTATGTTGAATAAATAAGTTTTAGTATTCAAGTTTAACTAAATATAGGCCTACATGAGGACGAAAAAATTTATATCAACTGAGCCAATATTAAGGTCTGAATTGTCTGACCAACTAATTATTTTCTTAAACAAGAGAGATCCCTAAACTCGGGAGTTTTGTATGTAGTAGTAGTCATTTAGTGTGGCCCTTCTCAACACTAAGATTTTCCCCACGAAGCATAAAATCATAATCAGAAAGTTTATGTCAAATAACTTCTGTCAAATCTGATGTTAACAAATTATGCAAAATTCCATGTGTCCCACTAAAATATCAATTTAATTAATATTCGGCCTTGTGAGAATTGTTTAATTAGTTGTTTAGTTAATTAGTAAAACTAAATTTTTCTTGTGGGGTCCAGCTAGATGTCTAAAGTTTGATGTCTCAGTAAGCTTGAGCAATCAGTTAGCTGATCGATGAAACAAAAAATTGAAATTGCAAGTAATCACCACCCCCTATAGTCAGTAGCTTTTAGGTTGATTGGTATGATTACATTATTGATTGGCCAGCTGAGTACAGCAAGCAACCCTTTTACACATAATTACCCACGGGCCGCAAGAGATGGAACTCATGATTTTGACGTGGCAACTCTCCGAGAAAAAGCTACTCTCATCTTATCCGTTTAAGCATCATGAATAAATAGCAATTTCCATACCTGACCGACATGAACTGGTATGTTCGAGACACTAGGATTTTCCATATGATTAAGCCATCTTTTCTGCCCCAAGGCATAAGTATGATTGGGCCATCTTACCGGCTTTCCTCTCTCCCAGAATAAACACAAAAGTCCCATCCTACAAGCAAGCCGCCCTCTCATCCAGATGCATAAAATTCCTGACATGTTTCTATCGCTTATTGCGCCAGTCATCAGTAAACACTCCCACTGGTCAATATTATATTGAACTTCAACAATATATTGCACAAATAAATAATTGAAACAACACAACAATACCATGAGCACACTTATATAGAAAAACAGAATCGAATACAGGAGAGTAATGCTCTAATATCGGAGCTGTGATGTCAGGAACAAATTTACACCCGATCTCATACTTTGTGAGCTGCGGATTCTGCGCAACAAATTTCTCTATAATCCGATGATTTTTTAGATTACGTCAGGGAGTTTGAAAATTAGACACATTGTTTTAAGAAAAAAAAAAGTCTGAAACATTTACACCCGAAGAAAAACGTCTCGCGCTGCAGAATCTGGGTGACAAACAAAGCTTGAGCTCATTTCAATCCAATGCTTTTTTAGATTACGTCGGGAAGTTTGAAAATTAGACACATTGTTTTACGAGAAAAAGAAGGGTGTAAAGTCTGAAACATTTACACCCGATGAAAAACGTCTCGCGCTGCAGAATCTGGGTGACAAACAAAGCTTGAGCTCACTTTAATCCAATGATTTTTAAGATTACGGTATGTCAAAATTAGTGCTCGGAAAGTTTGAATATTGGACACATTGTTCATACATTAATAAAGATTACAGGATTACAGGCAATATTATGTTCTCGGGAGAAAATATCACTTTGAAAACGGTGCTCCAGAAGTATGCGCACCAAGATATCGCACAACCTGAATCCTAACCGGTACACACATACTATGTTCAGGTTGTGCGCATACTTCTGGAGGTCCTTGAAAACGGTTGGGAACCACTGGTTAAAATTTTAGCTGCAAGTTCACCACACTCACTAAATATGTTAATCATCCAGTTGAAACAATCATACACAAATTATAAGGAAAAAATCCCTCAATTTTACTGAGGACGGAAGCCGTGTTGAACCAATGTTGGCTCGATTTTCAAGCAACGAATATCAGATCTGAAAATTTGGTTTTTGAAGCCAACCCACTAGAGAGGCAATATTGAAGATTTGGCGTTCCGGAGTAACTTGTACCAAGATGACGCACAACCTGAACAACCCTAACCTGGTAAACATACTATGTTCAGGTTGTGCACCATCTTGGTACGAATACTTCAGCATTCACCCAACTCACAATATGACCGTTCGGCTCTAATCGTCAAGCTCATATAATTCAGCCCGAGACAGTAATATCTTCAAATAAATCGCAACCCTTATCTTTATGAATGACAGAATTCCCTACAAAAAACAAAGCACCAACTAAAAATATAATGTGACAGAATCAACAAATAGGATACATGGTACATATATTCTGCCAAGCTGGGATGTTTGAAGCATTTAATTTGAATAAAACAGTAAAAATTCTAACAAAGAATCGTCTCTAAACGAAACTACGCCTCAATTCCCAGGTGGTGGTCTGAGTCAACTTTTTAAAGCAATGACTGGAATGATATCATACAATAGAAATTACATATCATTAAATTTATGTTTTTATTTATTAAGCCAGAGTGGTGATTGGAGTCAATAATTTATGATATAAATAGAGTCAATGTGGTGGTCGGAGTCAATATTTTAAAGCAATAGCTTGAATGATATTATATAATATATATATTTCATTAAATTTCAATTTTAAAATTTTTAGCCAAAGTAGTGATTGGAGTTGGTAATTTACGAAAAATAAAGTCAATGTAGTGATTGGAGTCTAAATATCAACTCAACCGAATCTCTGATCATCACTAACATATAAAATATATTCAGAGTCTGATATAATGTAATTTTATTTTTAACAGTAGTTATAATCAGGCCTCCTTTTTCGAAGGTTGTGATTGGAGTCTAACTTTGCGATAAAATTGAGTTAGGGTGGTGGCCAGAGTCTGAATCACTCAAGCATGCCTCAAACCACCGTCCTCTTCCAGTAAAACAAGGAAAGTGTTGACTCGTTGTCCTGTTTGTGCTTGCTCTGATGTACCGACGAAACGAATAAGTTGTTTTATACCGAGCCAGACTTTTTTACCGGATAATCGTCGCTCGATTTGAGTGCGTTCCTCAGGAGTGAAAGCATCGAGGGCCTGGAATAAATGAAATTTGATAATACTATTAAAACAGGGAAATAAAGAAATTTAATGAGTTTAGTTTTAGGGGAGACTTGTAACAAATTAAGCAATACTTTTGGAAATAATGACATCAAGACTAAAAATAATTCTCAAGTCATGAAATATTGGAGATTATTGGAGAACATTCTAATATGATATTTCAACATAACATGCAAATTCCCGTGTGATATGTCGGATGACCTTGTTTTTACCATGAATAAATCTATTGTAAGAACGGTATCGAATAATCGAGAAGGAGTAAATCTTTCTCCGTGAAAACGAATGTTTTAGGATAATAAGGAAATAGACCATTTTGGACGAGTGATATAAAATTGTGGTACTCCTTTAAATACGATCTCAATCAAACAAGAGATCATATTTTAGTGCAATTTATCTGATAACCTCTTATCGAATTTAATCTATCGTCAACCTGGTTACAAATTGTGAGTTGGTTTATTTGATTCAAGATATTGTAATATATTATCAAGGAAATAAAATCTATACAGGCAATTGTTTAGATCCTTGCTGTTATATCAAATTAACAGACATCTCAACTTGAACATGTAACCTATCATCTATTCTGTTTTTGGAGTCTCTGAGCGAAGTTACTTTAACGAATAAATCGCAGAAGATAGTCACATTCACTCATCTTTGAGAAATTACAGAAATATCAACAACTACATGCACTCACTTAGGAGTAAAAAAGACTCATCTCTGAGCGAGAGCATAAGTAGGGGCGACCAATAAACTGCTGAAGATAGTCACACGCACTCAGAAGACACTCACACACCTGTGTTTCCTCACCCAGACGTAAAAAAACTATACAATATGTCCAGTGTTACCAGCCTAAAAAATGGCACTTACATCCAAAGCCTCCATGACTTGCTCTGGTTTTGATATATTATCAACGTGAATCAATTGGTCGAAACTTTTATCCATTCGCATGTCTCGTAAGACATCTATGTTGCTAGTTGTTGCAATGACGAGGAGTTTTCGATTCTGAAAAATAGAGAAATATTATATCAGATATGTTT